TCTTTTACTTTCTTATAGTTATGCACATAGACCAAGGCCATACTTTGTGCAAATACATATAATTATCAACTCTAAACAGCACGAACGCCCAGATTTTTTTGCTGTTAGACGCGAGAAAGGCGGGCGCGAGTGTACTCGATTGCCGGCCGCACGCCTCGCTGCACAAAGTGACGTGACACTTGGGCGGCGGGGAAAACTGGGGAAAAACTAGGGAGAATGATGTTTCGGTTAACTAGAGTGAATCTGGGAGAATGAGATAGCATTTCGGAATCAGGAAGCCATCCGCATTCAGATTATGCCCTTGGACTAGGTAGCTCGAAAAGTCGGAGTTCTCCTTTAAAGGGGTACTCCGGCATTTTCTCCATTGTCCCCGATTTGCCTAAAACCTTGCTTAACACACCAACGAACATCGCTAAAATAGTAACCCAAATATTTGGCCAAAATAACTTTTTTTCGCGAAGTTACAGAATTTACAATTAGGGTCATCATCGTGTTCTTCAAAGTGAAAAGCTCTACTGGCAACATTGAAATAGTGACATCATGGGAAGGCAGGGGTTCACTCTTTGGGCTGTAGACTTTGTTTTCAACTGACCACAAACAGTTTCATGGCGTTAAAAGAATGTTTTGGAAGGTTGCTCCAGCTCCCGCGCAGCACGAAACAAATGCTCGGCATAGTTCATTTCTAGACAGCCCGCTCGAACCGCAAGCCTGCCATCCCGTGACGCAGGCACGTAGGCAGGGGGGGCCATGGGACCTGGGCCCCACCCCGAAATCTTCCATTTTGCTGGGGCCTCCTCTCCCCCCTTGCCCTCATACAGCACTTTGTCATAAACAAGCCCCCCCCCCCCCCCCCCGAAACAAAATCCTGGCTACGTGCCTGCCATGATGTCACGGCAATGAAAAGCGAAAGTATACCGTAAAATACCGTGCGCATCCGCCCATTCCACATTAAGCGCCCATTACCAAATTTGTGAGATCTGAGCAAATATGTACAGTACATTTATATGTAAAATTGATGACCGGACAAGTGCCCATCCCCCATTTTTTTGCGATTATCTCCAAAGTTTGAGTAGGCGCTTTCCCGGTATTTTACGGTATTTGAATTTTGGTATTGGCGTCATTTTCATTTGCCGATTTCATAATAACTATTTTGAGTTTCGTGATAGTAAATAGCATACCGGAAAGAGTAAAAGATGGCGATTTCGAAAATGTGGTTAGGTGGGGTTGCCCAAAAAATCGCTGGATTTTTTAAGCAGGTCTTTTTTCTGCCAACACGACAGTGGTAGGAACATTACCTGTGTCGAGCTAGAGAAGCCATATTGAAGGCTACCCCAGCTACGTCCACACTGGCTTTCATGGCAGTTAAGTGTGATGCAGACAGCTTTCACTATTTCAACCGAGTGCCTTGGCAAACACAGAAGCAGCCACATAAGACAATCAGGAAAAGACGCCGAGTTGTACAGGCTAAGGAGGAAGGACATAGTGCAGCGAGCTATCTAGTCCAGGCTATTCCTCTGAGAAATGCAGTCGGTGGAAATGTAGGTCAGTTATTCCCGCCATTAATTTAGGTAACTAATGCAAGCATTACACTATTTTGCATATTTCTCTACTGCAACGCTAGTCATCCGCAGCAGAAACAACGCCCCAAACTAAAAAGAAGTCTCATTGCATTGTTAACACAGACATCAAGTCCATTAGGAAAGGCCAGCTGTGCCATCCACCTGTTCATAAGCGAGCTGGAGTTCATCAAAACACAATCGAGAATCTCTCGGAAGTACTTGGTTCCTTTTCAGTAGTTATTGAATGAAAGCACAGTGCAGTGGTGATTACCATCAGCACAGCCTTGCCACTGGCACTGCTGTCCCTCGAATGGCACATGCACGACATGGCCTGCAAGCCACATATATCCCTAAAAGAAAGCTGCATAGGATGCACTTACCGTGGCTAGCGTCGCCACCCAGCGAGCTTGCACAAACCCTCTGCATGGCACGCAGTGCTGTTCAGAACAGAGCGGCACTGGCTAGCCAGTTAATGCGAAGGCTTGTAGTGTCTTGCCGCTGCCTTGGCAAAGCTGCAAGTCACCTCTTTCACGCCTTGTGGTGCCCATCAGCTTCAAACGAAACGGTGTTGAATCGCGACCAGCTATTACCTGTCGCACAAGGGAGAAAAGGGTGTGAATGTGCAGACTCCTATCTGTTTGCATTTGTCTAGCGTGTGAGTTTTGTTTGAGAAGAAAACAAAAATGACACTTCTTTCACAGTAATATGCAAAACAAAAACGAGAACGGCTCGGTTATTAATAAGTTGTGTGCAGCAGAGGCACGGGTGCGAGGGCGTAGCTCCGCAGAATGTTCTTTTTGCACGGCTGCTCGTGCAAAAAGGGCGCTTTTGTGCTCGGGCCTGTGCCTTTTCTGCACACAACGTATGTTACAGAGTGTATAGCACGCCTTCGAGAGCACTCGCGTGCGGCGAGAAATCCATCATATACAGGGTACGATCGCAGGAAACCTCGCAGGGGTGCAGGAAGCTGCAAGTGCACGGTGCACCAGAATGTGAAATTAGAGGTGGTAATAGTATTTCACAGTTTGAGAATATGACGTTACTTGACGTAACTGCCTTACCGGCGGATGATAAGGGCCATCGGAGCACGACCAACTATTTGTTGTGATCGGGGCATTCGATTGGACGCGGGTTGGTAAAGATTTGAAAAACACGAAAGAATAAAACATGTAGGGATGAAGACAGACAGCGCAGTTCTTTGTTGACATGAAATGTAAGATCAAGCACATTATTCTGTCGGATCAAATGGTTTTGTTGAAGAGTAAAGCTATACGCACTCCGGAGTGCGCTTCGCGCGGAAATGGCTATACGCACTCCTCCGAGAGATCATGCCGCTCGGGCCACCCTTTTCGAACGGCGCGTGAATCACTGGGGCGCTCGTTAACACAGCCCCCCGCCTGCGTTCACGCCGCTTCGCGGCGACAGTATCGGCTGCTAATTACTAAGCGTAACCAGTACACGCCGCTTCGCGGCGTCCAGCCGGCAATCCAAGCCCCGCTGTCCCCGATCGCACCTCCGGAAAGGGAGTCCGATACCATTTAGTTCTGCAAAGTTTCTCGACAACATTCGATTTTTTTTTTTTTTACTGTTCATTGCAAAAAAGGAAATGTCGTAAATATCGCCAAATGCCTCAACAAAACAAATTGTTTAAGAAAAAAAAAAAAAGAAAAAAAAAAAAGTAGGCTCACCGCGGATCGAACCCGCGTCCACTTGCGTATGAAGCGGACACTCTGACCACTACGCCATAGCACCGCTTAGGAAACTCGTTGTTTCCACTCTTTTTATACGAGAAAAGCGGAGTGCGTATAGCCATTTCCGTCCGAAGCGCACTCCGGAGTGCGTATAGCTTTACTCTTTGTTGAATTAGGTTTAGCTCGCAAGTCAGCCGTTCTTCGGCGGGCTTTCAGCTTTCTGCGATGGTTGTTTTAATCGTGAACGCAGGCTCAAACAATGTAGGCAGCGGCGCCAAATAGATCTGAAACTAAGAAACAGCTCGGACGCGTGGAACGAACACACACAGAGATCACATCACAGGAAAACTCAAACCACTCACCTTTCGTTCGACGACGGTACGTCAGGCACGATCAGCACGATGTTTCCGATGTTTCTCCAGGCGTTGAGGAGACCGCGTCTGTTTCCGTGCTCCTATTGGTCGTGACGTCACCAAATTTCATCCAATAAAGTGCGCGCCGAAGTTTTCTCTAGTCGCCGGTGAGTCACCCCGTCATTTAGCCGTTTGGCCAGTTTAGCCGTTTAGCCTAGAGCACTATATAGCTCCTACGGAGCAGAGTAGCGCAATCCTTTGAACCCCGTGTTTTGCCGACAACATGGCCGACAGAGCGGCTCGGCGCGAGTCACGTGGTACTCAGGGTTCCAAGAGGCGGCCCGCCCTATGGGAGAATACATGGAGGTCGACATAACACGGCTGATTAAAAAACTAACGGCGAGTTCACATTTTTCAAAACTAGCCTGTCGTGAAGTTAGTAAAGCGCTAAACACTTTATCAAAGTTTTAATAATATCGGATGCGTGTGCAAATTTTGAGAAGGCAATTTCCAAGGCAATGGCGTTTGAAGCAGACGATTTTTGCTCGCAGCGGAGATGGGCTTTTCGGGTTGGCCGGAGCGGGTCACGTGAATGGTGTGACGTCGCCGTGTCGTCTGCTGCATGATGCCGCTCAGGCAATTTTTTAAAAAAAGTTACGTCCTTGTATGGCACAAAACTTATCTCATATTATTCTAAAATGTTTCATTATTATGTCAAAAATGATTTCCATTCCGCACATCCCCACAAAACTGAAGAAACAACGATTTTCTCACGTTCTCCATGCATTTCTGACCGCAGTTGGAACCTCCGGGCGTTCGCCGCTAGTCGCCGAGAGACGGCGTTCTAGATTGCGCTACTCTAGAGTAACTGTATATGCTCCGCTTGCGGAGCAGAGTACCGCAATGGTGCCATTCTGGAGCCAAGCACTGCGGGAAGCCACGGTCGGTTTTTGCAGGGGACGCGAAGGCGCAGACGCGAGGCTTCGTGCTGCGGCGCGCTGCGTAAGGAAAATAGTGCGGCGACGAGCCGCGCAGGCGCCGTCATCGTTGACCCGTCGTTTCCTGTTTCCCTCTCGATTGCAAAAACCGCACCCGCGGATCCTGCGGGTCGCGTGTGAAGTGAAGTCGTCAATTCATTGCGGTAAACGACGCAGCGGCTGACGAAAACGCCGTCCCCTCGCTTTCGCACGAGAGCTCGCCGACTCGCCAAGACACAAGCGTTTCGGGGCAGTAAAACTGGAAACGCCGATTGGCTGAAAAAAAATGACGTCACTTCCGGTTTTGTTATTTTGTTGATTTTTAGATACGTTTTAAAGTAAAAATATATAAAAAAGTACTTTTCTTGTTTTTGTTTGTTTTTACTTTTTTTTTTTTATTTTCTTTGCTTGATTTTTTAATTTTGGCTGGTACGGTTCCGTTCTGTTCCGCCTTGGCGCCCTTGGCCGCGGGGGCAATGTTTTTGTTTTCGTTCTACGTTCAGGTGTTGAGTGGCGACGTATTAACCGTCGATAACCAGCTGAAGCAGCTCAAGTGGCTCAAGTTCTCTAGTGGAACGAGGTTGACCGTGCGCAGTGGCAGCCGTTGACAACAAAAACAATGTATGCACTCAGCTTCGCCGGATGAGTGCCGGCGTCGATCGCGAACCGCCAGAGCCGCCAAATACCTCTCGTACATCTCCAAGAACACCAAGAACAGGAGGTATTCATAAAGGTGAGTGTTCACCGCACTTTAGTGCTTCAGTTCCGTTTGGAGTCGTTTGACATAATTTAGTCCGGTGCGTCCGGGAACAAAGGCGCCGGAGTCATGCGGTTTAGAGAAGCTCGTTTTAGCGAACGCCGTTTTACCGACCCCAGTTTATCGAATTCCTTTATATAGAAACCCAGTTGAGAGAAAATGGTACTGAGCCTCCTTTTAGCGAATTCGGCCGCCGCGAAGCGGCGTGTGCGGATAAGTCAGATGGGTTAATATTTTTGTAATGAGCCGCCGCAGACTGCCGCCGCGAAGCGGCGGGAGCGCAGCGGGGGGCTTGGGTTAACACGCGCGCCAGTGATACACGCGAGAAGTAGAAAACCTTTTTTTAAATAGCGTCCCTTTTTCGATAAACGGCATTTCTCTAAACTGAGGCTCTGCTTTCTCTAAACTGTGCTTCGATAAAACGTGCCCGTTCTCTAAAACGTGCTTCGACGAAATGACATTCTATCAACCGTAGTAAACCCCAAAGGCGCTACCAGAAATGGCGGGAATGGTCGGTCGGTGCTGGATGCTGATGCCATCCAAGCGGATTTGAATTGGGTTTCGTGCGCTCAACGTGTCGATTTGTTTCTTGAGCTGCCTTTACCAACCGCTCGCCCGAAATCGTTCGGTAGAACATGCGGACGTGACGGCTAGCAGAACCCTCCGCAAAGGCTTAGGAGCGCGCTCACAATTTTGGAAGCTTCCGTATGACCGCAAGTGCTCAATAAGTCGCTATAGCAATGATTGCATGCCATCGACACAGACTTCGATCCAGTTTTTCAACGAGACAGGAAGGCCCAACGAAGCAAGCGTAGAATCTGATGCTTCGCCTGTCACTGTCTGCGCGGGAACACGCCGAGAGGCGCTTAAACGAGCTGCCAGGGCGTAATTAAAAAAAAAAAAAAATCTAACGCAGGTCTGAACCACGCGAGGATCGTCTCGAAGCATGGTAGCCTCAACAGACGCTTGCCGCCACACGCGAGGAGAAAGCAGGAGGCCCGAAGTTTGAATGTGAAGGTAAAACGTGCTTTAATAATAATGATCTTTATCTGCACGTTCCTTTGTATGACTAAGGTGATCGTGCTGAGACACAATATAGCAGCGATTGCTCTCGAACAAAGGACAGGACAGCAGAAAGGCAATGAGAGGCAGGGAGATAACTGACCTCTCTGTTGTAAAACATTTTTCAGAGGAGGTGCGAAGAGCTGGCCCTCACTTTTTCAAGGCAGCCGCAGAACACTACGAGCCCCGAATCACTGCCGCGGCTGACTCACGCGGATGCTGTGCTGCACCCTGCACTGCACATGGTTCGAAGCACACTTCAGGGGACCAGTGCATGCCCCTGATGCATCGTCGCGGTATGTTTTGTACTGCTTTTCCTAGCGGTGCACTGAGCAGTCCAATCTTGAAGGGAGCACGCGAGTGCGTAGCCAGTGCTCCATGCAGCAAGGACCGCAAGCACCCGCGGAAGCTTGGAGCACACGCAGTGACGCCAGCAGCCGTGCACGCTGGCGTCGTCTGCTACTGTACTGTCCTTTCGTTCGGTGCGCAGAAAAAAAAAGGAGTGACCGCTCTGTTAAAAGTCTGATGGTGAAGGCATCCTTTACAGAAGCACTGTATGGCTCTCTGCACGCTAGAATGGGGACTGTCGTTGATGCTCGCAGGGGCGTCGCCCACAACTAAGCAGACGACCAAAGTCCTGAGCAGGTGACTAATCGTTTCATTGTTCTTTGGTAGGGAAAGGTAGATAATGTGCTTCTACTCCCAGCTTTTTTTTTTTTTTTTTTTTTTTTATATCACCATTTAGTATGTTACCATCAAAACAGCATCCTGGTGTTCACATAAATATGTGTTAACAATACCTATCGTCAAATATGTGACTCAAAGAGCCAACTGCGGCCGAGGATATCTTTTAAGTGTTCTTTTTCTCACAAAGATCCCTGGCATTGACTTTTTAGCCACGTACCTTGAGTCCACAAAAACAATGTGCTTCAGCTAAATGGTATTCACACAAAATACATCCTGACAAGCTGCTTTCACTCTCGAGCCTCGAAGAAATTTTGCAGTTTGATTTGAACTATGTTGCAGGTTAAGGAGGTAGGGTCAGGGAAAAGAAGGTGGGAGAGGAGGAAGCGGGCACAATGCTGGTCAAACCCTCTCCCTTCGCCGGCGTTGCATCCATCTCGTCCTCTCCCACCTTCCTTTTTCTTCCCCTACCTTCTTGAGTCGTCACCGACCATATAAAAGGCATGCATTGATATCACTTGTTCGTTTTGTGGCCATGGCGCCAGCAAGGTTTGAGAAACGTATCCTGCTTCACAGGAATTCAGCACTCAACATGGAGAAACTATTGGCAGTGCTGCTGTAATGTCTTTGTCCTCGTCTTTTGCAGCCATCTAAAAAAGAGAAATATAATACTAGGAACACAGAGCAACGTCACGCGCCAGTACATAGTGTACTACGAAGGGCAGGTAAATTGACTGCGGAACACGATTTTCTCAATGTCCTCACGGTTCTTTCGGCCAAGTACATACAGATAAGACGATTACCATTAGAAATGTTGAACGCCAATCCGAAATGTTTTTTGGCGGTGTGCCGAGCAAAAGGACATTGCTGCAACAGAAAACATGTGCCATCCTCCGCCTTTGGTGCTTCTGTGTCTGCGCCGAGCTTCCGCAGCCACCAACAGTCAACGCTGCATGGACTGCCCGCCATGCTTTCATGCGTTCCATGTATGATTGGCACGGCATGTGGATGTGTCATGCAAGTGACATCAGCGCTGTTGGCAGTGCCATGCTGGTGGTGGTTGAGCTTTGCTAGGCTCTGACCATTGACAAGCTGTTTTATGCAATAATCGCTCTTGGAAGTCCCCAAACTGTTTTTAGCAATTTAAGTGTCTGATTTTTTTTTAGCTATGGTTATACAGGTTTTCTTTTTTAACATTTACAGATTTCAAAGAAAAAGTGAAAGTTATGACAGTTATACGGCCAGGCGGACATTAGATTCATGGAAGAATGCAGCTAAAAGTCCGTGTAGATCATGTGTATCATGCTTCTCTGCAGCGCAGCTACATACTTGCGTAGGACAACCCCCATGAAGTGGGGTGGGGGGGCTGCATGCGTGTGTTGGGTAGCCCCTCTTGGTTTTACAACTCTACCCTGTTGTAAAATTTTAGATTTTAATGCGAACAAGTTGATAACAAAAAAGAACTTGGTCAACATTGATCTTACAACTAGAGATGTAAAAGGAACAAAAATAGAGAACAGCAAAATGTGGAAGAAGACATCTCGCTTCTTTCATTTTCATTTGACTAAGTGACATTGGTCGGCGACTGTAAGACTTTTAATCACAATAGTTATACACCACAGGTCCCAGGGATCATGGCATCGATGAGCTCGCTTTCGCCTTGTCCAAGGTAGCAGCGGAACACTACGGGCAGGCCCGGAGTCACCGCACCGGCTGGCTCACGGGCGTCGTCCTGTACTCTGCACGGCACTGCGTGTGGCTTAACCGGCCAAGCAGAGGGTCACTGCATGACCTTTATGAGGCGTCGCTAGCCATTGTAAGTATATTTTGGACGCTCGTGTCAGGGGATGTACTTTTGTGTTCTACAACAGAACATGTTTGGTGGCGGTTCAGTCTTGCCAATTCAGCTATTTCGAAACATAATTTTGTGGCGACTCGGCTTAGGTTTTCTGGCTCGGCCGTCTTTTGCACCAGTGTCTAGGCTCGGCGTAAGCCTCTTTGTTCTTTATTGTCAAGGCTAGTGTAATTTCTGCTACGCCGTCGAAGCAACTTCTGCATGCGAACAAGATGCAAGACGAAGCTACATGCTCGTGCACAGTGCATGACCACATGTGAAAACTAATAGCGAGTTTGTTTCGCTGCACTCGTGCCCATGCGCACCCACTCGCAACATGAAGTGAGTTTGTTTCGCCGCCGGCACTCCACACGTGCATGCGCTCGCTGCACCCTGAGAATTAAGGCCCGTTCACACTCTTGCGACCGAGTACGACTGAGAGAGACGAGATCTCTTACAACTTCTTAAATGTTTCTAGAATGAGGGAACATACTGACATTGTGGCGCCATCTATGCGGTGACCCTAGAACAGCATTTCACAAAAGCGAAGGTTTTGCGGGATTTCCGAGGTCAAATGTGCGTAATACCCATAGAAAGGCTCGTTTATAACACTGACAAAAGCTTTTCGAGCCAAAAAAGAAAGGATATTGCGCGAGAAATAAAAAAAAATATGCCGGACCGCCGAGTTTACACTGCTTCCCAATAGATGGCGCCAGTGTGTTCTCTGGTTTAAGAAGTTTTAAGGAACCCAGGTTTAAGAGGTCGCAAGCAGTCGCAAGAGTGTGAACGGGCCTTTAAGTGTGTACCTGAATGCACTCCCGTCATGCATCACTTAGGCAGGGAACAAGAGCAGATGACTGGTTTGTCCACCATGCGGGACAGTAGAACTGCAGAAAAAGTGAATTTCTGCTAAAAAAATGACGTCCCACGAGCAACAAAATCGGACACGAGCTTGAATTGTGTGTCTGCTATTCTATAAAGCAAGCAATCCACAACCTGTGCTTAATTTGCAAGTTTTCAGTCATTTTGTTGCCGTACAGACGTCCAAATACACTGGTGGATAAAGAAACGTTCAGAACGAACATCAGCCACTGCGAGATATCTCTCACCATCCGTGCGGGGCTAAAGAGTTGGGACGTTAGTTGACAAAGCTTGCCCGGCAGAAACCTGCGACGCGTCCAATCGGGAGCCGAGAAAGCTAAACTGTTTTTACCCGAGGCTTGGATAAAATCACAGTGTTTAAAAAGGAGCCATGGAATTTATTTTGGGTGGGATAAATTAATTTAGATTCATGTTTTGCTAATACAGTTGAACCTTTCAAGAACGAAATTCTCGCGGCAACGAAGAAATCTGGCGGCCCCAGCGAACGTCCATAGGGTTCAATGCATTTGCACCCTCTCAACAGCAAAGAGTTTTTAAAAAGCAGTCCCGCATTAACGAAAGTTTGAGGTAGTGATCTGCCATAGAGTTATTCAATGTGTCTACCAAGTTGGCATTTTCAAATTACCTGAGTTTTTCAGGTTTCCCCTGAGTACTTTTGTGAAATTCCCTGAGTGACACAGAACTTTGTTTTAGGTCAAGATGGGCGGACACCATGTCGCCAGATGCTGTCACTCTCTAAAAAGCATGTCATAAAATAAAATAACAACACAATACAGTTTTGATGATAGCGAGTAACTTTTATTAGATTTAAAAAGAAAACAGAACGAAGTGGTTAGTAAAATTGATAGCGAATAAAGTATAAAAAAAGGTAAACTGAGGTTTACGTGACCCCCCCAGGTCTGGTCATGTGACCTCAGGGGGGGGGGGTGTCGAGACCTGACGGTGACGCCGCTCAAGCCGGAAACGGGAGCAATAACGGGGAAAGGAAAGGGTAAACAAACATAAGGTGTTCAAAGTGTGATTGCTCAACCCTTGTTGTCAAAACACTCCACCTGACAAAATCTTTTTTTTTTTTTTTTTGGGGGGGGGGGGGGGGGGCTAAGGAGTTGCACAGTGACAGCAGTGTTTGGGAAAATGAGCGCACGCGACCGTTCCAACAGCGAGCACTCCCTGCCCTCCCCACGCGCGCAGGTGCCCTTCCCCTTGCTTTTGCCATCCTCCACTTCTTTTGTTTTTATTGGTTGCTTTTTTTATTTTTTATACAATTGCTTTTTCGCTGCGCATCCCCGCGTGCGCATTCCCGGGTGCGCGTATGCTGGCTTGGCGGTCTGCCAGCCCCGCAACCCGAGCTATGTGCTCCCGGCCGGCGCAATCCGACCTATAGGGAGAAGCGAAGAACCGCCTTCGTCTTCGTTCCCTACATCGAGTGTCCCCTCCATGGGAGTTATGGGCATTCGATACAGAAAAACAATGCAGTTTTCTAGGGGATGTTTGGACTGTTTCATATAAACAATAATTCGAAATACGGGTGTGATATAACCGGGTTCGACAGTATGTTTGGCCGTCTCCCTTAATTTCCAGATACCTTCGTTCGTTTGGCACATATATCACCGATGCTAGAAAACGCCGACGTCGTGTTCGCGCTGAGAGTGTCCGACAGTGCACATAAATACACGTGCGAAGCCGTTTTTGCACCATTTTTTTTTTTCCCCCATAGAAATGCATTACCGGAAGTCAATTTTCGACTGGTTGCTGTCTGCTTCAACTTGCGTCGGCACACTAGCGCCACTTGAACCTCTAGCGTACATTATAATAACCCTATGTGATCTGCAACATTTTTTCGTCACATGAGCCAGTTTGGAACCCAGAATTACGAAAAGTGGAGCAGTACACTCGTCCGGCAAGTTGGGCACATGCGTTTCCAACAAGCATCAGCGCAGCCATTGCTGTTTACATTCGGTCAAAAAATAATGACAATAGCAACTAGATTCTTTTTCTCTTTTTTGGTTGGTGAAAACAGCGTTTTGCAAGCCCATCTGTTGGCAACTACCAAGGTATGTGACGTTTCACGTGACGACACCGCCCGCTGCTATTTCGCCGACACCGCAGTTGCTGACGAGCTAATGCTCTTCAGCAAGTGACGGATTAGCTCCTCCCGCATCGAATACGCAGCAAAGAAGTTTGTCACATCGCGGCAATTTCAGGCGATCGATTAATTAGTTCTATCCAATTTTTACTAAGAATTGTTTACAAATGTAAAATTGCTCGCTGAAAAGCGCATCACACATTATGTGCAATTGGGACCGAAAAATTAAACATACAAACGGTAGGAATTCATAGCAGGTGTATACCTAATTTTTTGGGATGCTAATTGTCACCGACTTACTAAATTTAAGGCTTCGGTCGCGAGGGGGTCTCGCATGCTTCACGTCGATCGAGTGAACAAGCAGGGATTTCATTGAGACGACTCTGGAAGCCAGCCACCGTCAATGCCAGTTGTTTTGAGGAAATGTTTGTTTACTGGTTTAAAAAGACCAAAAATGAATCAACTTGGGACTAATAAGAAATCAGCACTTACAAAACACATCGGAACCACCAAGATACACGGAGTCGCTTTCACTGAAGTGTTTACTACACAGGTTAGAGATTCCCGAATTTCGCTTTCCTATTTTCAATTTAATGAGACATTTCTTTCTCAGCTTTATTTTGTCTGAATAATGATAAAATAAATACACCCTATTCGCCATGCTAGCTAGATGTTGTAGTGGGGTAAAGCGCTGGATATTCTATTTTTAATCGTCCATCTTTTTGTACTGGGGTGGAGAACAGTACATCACCATCCCAGCATTTCGACACCTTAGTGCCAAAAGTGTTTGTTAGCATGACTACGCGTGGCACGGTTTCAAGTATAACTTCACCAAATAAAAACAATGCGCGAAATGGGCTTTGCTGCGCGATACAGCGCATAACGCTGACTGTCGAGCCGAAGGTTCCAAGATCTGCGCAGTCTGTCCCAGTGTGCCCTACCCGTAACGTCAAAAACGACGATGATGATAGCTAGTTAGCGCATGCCGCCAAAGAGTTGTAAACTGCGGACGTTCCGTCCGGAGTTGTCTGTCTTCGATCCTGCTCATTCCGTATCATGTAGGGGAGAGTATGCCATCCTGCTGGCCTACTGTCGCACACTGCCAGTGTTAAACTTTCAGAACTCTATGAGCCGAGAAATTGATGGAGAGGGGGAGACGAGAGTGCAGGGACATCAGAACGCAGAGGCACCTAAAGCTAGGTGCCTTTGTCTTCACTGCACTTGTCAAAGACGTTCGAGTGCGAGAGCCAAACGCCGGGGGCGGCCTTTGGCATTTGCATCCCAATACGTTCGACGAGTGCAGTGGAGACAAAGGCAGCCTTTGTTTCTGCTGCACTCGTCGAACACATTCGAATGCAGAACGCCGGTATCCAGCTTTGGGCTCTCGCATTCGAACGTCTTTGACGAGTGCAGTAAAGACAAAGGCACCTAGCTTTAGGTGTACCCACTAATCATTCGAACCAGAGCTCGGGTGTCCTGACATCCACACCTGCTCTCGTCCTCACTTTTCCCTCAGTTTCTTGGCAGATTTTAGGGGAAACTGTGTGGGTGGGGGAAGGGGGGGGGGGGGGGGGACGGCCCCTTCTGAAGCCTTCGAGGTTAACTTTTTCTAAAAAAAATGGACTTATGCCGGCTTTTGTTAGGAAGAAATTAAGTTTTTGACAACGTGACTAGTACACTCGGTTGGAAAACTGCTATAGGAGCCTCCTTTGAAAAAGTGGCTTCAATCCATATGAGAGAATCAAACTAAACGCAATCGCAATGCCACTGTTTCTCCCGCGGTGGCCACTCCGTGAACTACACTGCTGCACCGACTGGTTCCGTAGATTCTCGGAAGGGCCACTGGTGTCATCTCGCAGGGCCATCTTGGAGTAGCTATGCAAGGCAACTTTCATGTTTTGACTTGTTGCTAAAGAGTGGCACTGTTATCATATTTAGTTTGGTCTCGGTGGACGCCAGCAGTCCAGGTTCCAAGGTTGAGTTTCCTAGCTGAGTGTTTTAGTAACGTTGGTTTTTGGTGGCATAACAAATATTAGGTAAACAAAACAGATCTTGCCCTGCATGTTAGGGTCAGATATTAGTTACTGTTCACCTGATCGACCCCTTTGTTCTCTGCATTCATCATAGGTTTCAAATCGTCCTGATTCATGGGCCAAGCCTTTCAAGACTGCACTCTTAGCCCCAGTCCTTTTTGGTGGATCGGATCTTGCCATCTTCCCCTCTCGAGGCTTCCTGTTGTACTTAAATAAATTGTCATATTTTTTTCTTATGGTGGTGCATACGTTTTGCCACACTTCACAAAAACAGTGTGGTGAATCCATGCCGCAGATTACTGTGAAACGTGCAGGAAGGGTAAACTCCGAAAAGGTTTATGGAAAGAAGATAGACATCCCCCATTAATTTTTTCTGGACACTCTAAGCGTGCTATCTACGCAGTATTTCTGCCTATCATGGCATCGGCTTTTGACCATTCACGCTTGCAAGGAAAGGCTATCGGCAAGAAGGGTTACGAAGTCTGTGTTCTGTTTGCATTTAATTACTGAAACAAGATTTATAGACTTTACCAAGTGTATTTTAACATAACTAAATGTTTAAACTTTAGATCTTTATTTTAAACTTTACCATTATTTTAAGAAGTTTTTGCTAGGGTAAATGTTTTCCATAAGTTTTTTTTTTTTTCTTTTATATATCGGATAAAGGGATTACATTTGTTCTCTGAGTTTTTATAGAAGCCCCATCGCTATCACCATCACTATTTTGATTTTTCCAAGATGGCCGTTTTTGTTTCGCGAACGTTCTGCGAGGAGAGTTCGGCGACTTGCGTGACTTACGAACAGAACTGCCTAATTGGTATGTTAATTTTGGTGGCTACTTATCGCGGAATATCGTGGGTATCTTGTATTTGTACAAGAACTAGTATTTAAGGTTCAGATTGTTCGTACAGAACGTTAGCTCGGCGGGTCTAGTCTCTTCTAAATTGCTTGGTTGCCTTTTGTCCACGTTTATTTCCCTCCCAAACCCATCACACACTGGTTCATTTTCTGTTTCCAGTACCTACAATTGAGTAAATTGTTTTAGAGGAGGGGATGCCCAGCTTCAGCAGCTTCAATGTGCGAGGAACACTCCAGCCCCCTCAACAAAGCTGGAGGTGCGGATAGAGTTGAGATTTTAACTGACTAATGAATGCTGCATCGGATGTTATGCAGTAGTAAGTCATGACATTTTTGTATTTATGTCGTGCATCGGCCGTAAAGCGAAACTTACGTTGCGTAGGTTACATAGGACGTAACTAACTTTTATTTTGGGTTCTGTTTGTCATAGCTTTAATTTTCATATTAGGTTACGTCGGACCAAACTTTATTTTTCATATTGGGTACCTTAGATGTAACTCGAAAGCTTGGGGTAAGGTTACGCTAGACACTGCGTTGAAAGATGCACTTTTATTTTTTTGAAAAGTATTCTTTAACTTACGGCAGTGGCGAATAGCACTTGTGTTGATGAGATGTTTTGATTCCGCATGTCCGGAAAGTTGCCGGGGCAGCTGTCGACTATCTATATAGGACGGTAATGTTGCAGGTACAAAAGTGAATAATACACCGTGTTGAATATTTATTTATTGGTCTTTTTCGGCAGTGCCGCTTGTGCCTGGACAATGGAAGATGATGCAAAGGCCAAAAGAAAGCTACTCTGCATCTGCACTCTGAATAATGTGATGTCTCGGTAGCTACACATGCTTTGTTAAAGGGAAGTTTATTTCGCCACTTGCTAGGCATCATTGAGGTGATTTGGCTGTGTGCCTTTATTTTATGCTAATAGAATGTACTGCACTTACAACTGCTTGTTGTAGGTGCAGCCTACAACAATCAGTTGCAAAGGAGCACCGTTTAGTGAATCCATTCGATTAACATAAGCAAGTCTGGAAGATGCTAAAGACTAGAGCATGATGCACTGAGGCATGTTGACCTATGCTTGAGCACCCACTCTCCTCTCTTGGGCTGTAAACCAGGCAAAATGTAAAATTATTCTTGCGAAAACAGCAGGGATGTGGCATGCATAAAAACTTGTCGATCATGCTCTGAATATGCTGGCCGCCCAAGCGAGCGACTCACTGACTGACTGGCTCGGCTTTGCCATCAGCCAAGGCAGGACAAGCAAATGCTAGAGCAAGCAGTCAAGTTCGGTGAATTCTGTTTTTCTAAAAACAAATTTGCTAAAAGGAGATTCGTTGCCATTTCCTCTAAACGGAGTGCCTTCTTGAAAGAATTCAATAAAAAAGGGGGTTTCAAAACTTGTGCTTGGAAAAATAGATGCCTCTGCTCGGGCCGTACACATCAACTTTCTTAGATCTGTCGGTTGACAAGCTCCATAGAAAAGCAGCAGTAAAAAAAAAAAAAAAAAAAAAAAAAAAAATTGAGACGTTTACAATTTTTTGTAACATGAAATTAGAGCGCAGCGCTTGAGTAGGAGGAGGGGAGGTTATGCCTCTCCTATCCCTCCATAGCCTCTCCTCCCCCTCCCATTTAGCAGGCAATTTTCGCTAAATTTCCTGCTAAATTTAGCAAGAATTTCCCCGCTAAATTTAGCGGTTTAAGTTTCCTCTCTAAATCTTGTGGGGAAATTCATGTCAGACAACCTCAACACCAATTCAGTTTCCCCGCTATATTTAGCAGGGAAACTGAATTGGTGTTGAGGAAACAACCCTGCTAAATGGCACATGACTTCATGCCACGTCACTCACAAACAAATTCAGTTCCTCAGCTAGATTTAGCAGAAAAATTGACATTGCGTGACCTCAACACAAATTCAATTTCTCACTAAATTCAGCAAGGTGATCATGCAGACGGCGACACAAAGAAACGTGGAAATGGGCACCTAAGAGCTGCACTCTAAACCAGTTTTTCTCTGTTGCCGGTGCACAAGCAGGTAAGGGCGGATAGCATTCCTAGTGCCAATTCCTTTGCGGTCAACGAAAAACGCTTTTTGAACAACGCTCTTTCTGTTTTAAGTATTGTGCAGGCCTTAAGTTTACTATAAGAACAACAACAACAAAAAAATCACTTTCCACTGCAGGTAATGTGCATCCAACGTTCCACTGGATCTGTCCGAAGGGCAGGCTGATACTGCGGCAGACGCCACTGAGCGGACACACTGCAAAAAGGCGTCGGCCGTTTTCCGAAGTTTGTCAACTGACCTAGATCTGAGAACGTTGGTACATGTATTGCTACCGTTGCCAAGCAGGACTGGAGATTGTTAGAGTGTGAACAATGTTCACACTTTGGTCAATGCAAGCACATCTTTTTTTTTTTTAGTAATATTGACTAACAAGATTGCAGCAATCAAACAAGTTAACACCGAAATGTTAAAAGCAATAAAGAAATTAAAGCCCGGCTGTTCTGCGAGTGCAGATTTTATATCTTGCTTTATTTTAAGGGCTGCACTGATTTGTTTGCCCCTTCATTAAAGGGGCCCTGCAACCATATTTAAGCGTCTACCTTTTTTGCGGTTTCCACGTCTCTTGGCGTTCAGGCAAGCCAGCGGACACGGAGAAAGTAACTAAATGTCAGTGCGTCATATTTTAACCGGCCGACGCAGAAACCTCCTTTACCTACGGGGGCGACCCGCATTGCTGAAAGCGCGCGAAATGCGACGTCTTTGGTCCTGGGCTTACTAGTGGTCGGAGCCGCTAAAAGCTAAAAGACCGTTTCAATTATTTGTGAAAGTAGTTTTTGTTCAGTATTTTAGACCAGAAAAGAAACAAATGCAGTTTATAAAGTACGGAAACAAGAAACGACCCTTCGACATACCCGCCACCCAAGCGGTGGAAAAGGCGGCGCATACTAGAAAGGTGTAGTGGGATCAGGCAATGACGAGGGCAAGCGTAGAAAGGTCTCGGGTGTATGCGGCGGCGCTGCAGTCGAAAATCCGACCGGTTCCGAGCATTCCAAAGGCCTTCGGCGAGCAGCTTTGGCTTGCGGTTTGGCCCTTTGGCGGTATGGCAGTGCGAAGTGGCTCCCGTTCTGAACTGATCTTTACCCCGTGTTTGCTGTCGTTTGTGACCAATGAAGTGTCATGCCGAATTAGTGTTTAATCGTGCAGCAAATGCAATGCGAGCCCCCCTGGCTGCCCGCTTCATACAGCCTTTCCAGAACATGCTATATGGCACCCTCTCGAGCTGTTGACACGGAGCGCTCGCTGAGCTCACTTAGCCCTCTTCTAGTTCATGGCCACTCGAGCGACCAAGGACGTCATGAAAAAGGTTATGTTTTGCTTGTTCTTGTAACTTTAATGTGCCTATAACTTTTAAAATAAAGCGAAATTCGAGAAAAGAAAAGTTTAATTAAGTTGCACTGACTACGTTCAGTGCGCTCAGGTTCGGTGCAAATGAAAAACCAGTCAAAAAGCCCTTGCAGGGCCCCTTTAAAGCATGCATTTCATCTCCGAGAAGTTGTGATTTTTCATTGTTGTGGAAGAGGTCTCATAGCACCAGTGAAGGACGATGGTGATATGTCTAGGGTAGACAGTCACTGCCTGGGTCTTTAATATAAGCTTTGAAAGAGTCTATAGTCAGTTGCAACCTAAGAACGAAGGGCGTGGGTAAGACGTGTTGGGGAGGAGGAAGCAGGCGGAACACTGAAGAGAGAAGGAGGTTTCCCCCTCTCTTCTCCAGCGTTCCGTCTGCTTCCTCCTCCCCGGCCCATCTTACCCTCGCCCTTAGGTTGCAACGGACTATAGATAGTTGTACACAGACATGGGTCTCTTTACTCCAGTTAAAAACAGCACCATTCAATGGAATTTTTTTAGGTTGTCAGTAGAAATGTTTTTGTAAACTTGAATACAAGGCACCATCCGTTTTTCTCACTGAAGCAAGTTGATATTTTTTCTTTCTATTTATAACTAGCTTTTGACAAGATCAATTACAAATTGCTTTTGTAAAAACCTTTATTGTATGGTGTAGCACTGCCACTTTTAAAATGGTTTAATGACTAAGTCCCTCACAAGATGAGAATGGCTATGAGAAGCCTCAGTTGCCCTGCCTCCAGCAAGAGAGCTTCCTACCTTCGGCAACGCGTAGAGGCGGGACATTTGTAAGACACACCCAGCCGTTCGCATTCCATTCAGCAATGCTTAGGCATCTTGCAAACCTCAAGAATGCACGCACAGCCAAAGCATGAGGAAAGGCGACGAGTGCTCGCTGGAGGCTGAGCTATAAGACATGCCCTGCATTTCTATTCTTCCCTGCGATTATTAGCACCGAGATGTTCTGGTGATATCCTATTTCGCTCGCAACATCACGCGCGGTTTGATACTTCAACCCTATGTTCCAGGTGAGAAAAAAAAAAGTGCCTTTCATGGAAGGCTTGTCAAAATAATAGGCGCCAGAGAGTAACGGCCATCTGCGTTCAGTCCTTATTTAGAACCCTATGTTCATGTTCTGCGGCCGCATTGAAAAGTACTGCAAGAGAGCCCAAGTGTGCTCCTGATCTCGCCCCACCAGTCTCCTCCTGCACAATAAATTGACTGCTACGGTCACCAAATGTCAATAGATGCACATTCGAACGCAGCAACTGAAGGCAGCTACAGACACAGTATCTTTCAAAGTATCTTTGAAAGATATCTTTGTATCAAAGCTACAGACACAGTATCTTTCCAAACAGACTGCAGGTCACCCCTCACTTGGGCGAGGGGGGTGACTCGTGTGGTCTGCTTCTGCGGTCTCCAAAAATATTTTCGTAAACAACTCCCACATCTACCTACAGTAAAATAAGCAATATTCAAAACTTAAAAAAAAAAAAAAAAAAGCGTTTACGACTTTCTGTAACGCCGGATTAGAGCGCAGCTCTTGAGGAGGAGGATGAAAGGACACTGAGGGATGGGTGACGCCCTGAGGGCCCCCTCGCTTTCGCGCTGCGGGGCAGTCCCAGACACGAAGCTTTGAGGTTCTCCGGCGCGGGCTGCGGCACCCCAACACATGTGTGCTGGGCTGTACATGTCTGTTTTTTCGTTCTTTTTTTTTTTCCTCGGGCGCTTAAAAGCCGAAGTCCAAAGTCTACTCGTCGAACAGCGTTCACCCACACCTTCTCCAGTTTTTGGTCCGTTGGAAACTAGTGAAAAAGCACCTCCGTGTTGCACAGCGGGTTGTTTGAGCAGCCCACAGCGCTACAAGTTGTACTCGGCATCTTTTGAGGAACAGCTGGGCAGTCTTGGGCGCACCAAGTTGCTCGCTAAAACGAGTCTTGGAGTCCTCACAAGCAGATAAACAAAAGGCTATAGCGAAGCTACATGGGCTACAGATAAAATCAACGGCTAAACACGCCAATCACAAGCCGAAGTACCGGTGGTAGCGGCTCGAAGAAACGCACTCCGCGCAACGCCCGGGCCGGAGGAAAAGAGAACGATACTGACGTCACGGCGCAATGTTGCTTTAGCGATCGCCAACCCGCTGGCCGCCCGCTAAGAAGCAGCGGCTTGCGGCAGGTCACATTTTTATTATCGGCATTAGTTGAGAATGCGGCGTCCCACGGACGTAATATTTTGGCTGAGGTCGTATTTTGTGTGTCTACAACGATACCAGTAATTTATTTCATTTTGAGTTTTGGCCGGAGTTGCCCTTTAAGTTGGTCAGAGTATCTGACTGCAAAGGGTTAATAATCCATTTTTAATCGACATAGAGGCGAACTAACTAGCCACTCGGCGCTTTGACGTAGCGCGTCGTCTGCTCGATCCTACCAGCACCGCTACAGGAAGGCGTCCGCGAGATGAAACCAGCAAAACATCTCGTCGCCAATGGTGACACAGTGGTCGAGTCTAACATGTGAGCTAGGGCCGGCTCACGTGCTTTGGGTACCACGGATGTGTCGCACTGAAAATGCGGAAAGCTTTCGAGGGAAAGGAAGTACAAAATAGTTCGTCATGTTTTCAAATTTTCGTACCGAAAAGCAGACTTTTGACTCTCGGCCCGCTGAACAATATGTTACAGTTGAACCCCGTTGTCACAGGGTTCTTTGTGGTTAATAATTGACAAAATACAATGTCCTTCGTTTTTCATGAAAACTTGTATTTACAAAAAAAAAAATCGAAGGGTTCATATGCTTATACAAAAAAAGAAAACTTAGTTAAAGAAATGAAAGAAAGGAAAACGCATCAGTCACCATGTCTTTAAGTCCCTGTGCAGCAGTGTGTCTTGTGCTGTCGTTGTCGGCCCACGGTTGTGGCTGGAAGTCAGGAGCGGGAGCGGTTGGCTTCCGTCGGCGGCCCCAGAGTTACCGCACCAAGCGCTCCCGCTGTAGGAAGCCGGGGGCAGCGTAGGTTTCTATTCGCTGCCCTCGCTGGAACAGGCTGCTGGTCAGACAGTAGGAGGCCGCCGATTGCCCTGGCCGATCGTGTCGTTCCGCTCTCTGCGCAATCTCCCGGCCAGTCCTTTTCACGCCCTCCGAGCACGCACTCCAAAATCCCTCTTCTTCGTTTCTCCCTCCAGGCCGATCCATGGGTTGACTTGCACTTCTTCTTTTCCACATTAAGTCACATCATCACACCCGTAATAACCAAACCGCGGGGGAAGGAAACGTTTTTTGTTCTCGCGAGAATTTCGCTGCTGCAGAAATGGACAACTAAGCACACCTATTACTTTTCATGATGCTGTCCTTGGATTTCAGAATCGTAGAAAGCGAGAAGCAAAGGATACTGAACTCCTCTGTAATATCAGACTTCTTTCTGGCTTTGGCAGTGATCGCAGAGTTCTCCTGAAGTGCAAAAAACTTAAACTTTTTAATGGGAGGCGGCATCTTTCCGACAGGCCAAACGAAAGGTAGTAAACAAGGCGCGAGCGATCTCGGCGTGCACGCGGCGGACGGCAAAATAGCAGCAGGCGGTGTCGTCACTTACCTAGGTAGTTGCCAACAGATGGGCTAGCAAAACGCTGTTTTCACCAACCCCCAAAAAAAAGCATCTAGTTGCCATTGTCATCATTATTTGACCGAATGTAAACAGCAATGGCCGCGCCGATGCTTGTCGGAAACGTATGTGCCCAACTTGTCGGACGAGTGTACTGCTCCATTTTTCACAATTCTGGGTTCCAAACTGGCTCATTTGACGAAAAAATGTTGCAGATCGCATAGGGTTATTGTAATGTACGCTAGAGGTTCAAGTGGTGCTAGTGTGCCGACGCAAGTTGAAGCAGACAGCAACCAGTCGAAAATTGACTTCCGGTAATGCATTTCTATGGGAAAAAAAAAAACGGTGCAAAAATGGCTTCGCACGTGTATTTATGTGCACTGTCGGACACTCTCAGCGCGAACACAACGTCGGCGCTTTCTAGCATCGGGGATATACGTGCCAAACGAACGAAGGTATCTGGAAATTAAGGGAGACGGCCAAACATACTGTCGAA